AGCGCCTACGAACTCCCTTTTGCTTGCAATAAAAGAGGCACAGCGAGCAACTGTTCTTCAGTTCTTTCGTTTCGTTCGGTCCTGCGTTCATGAAAATGAATGGGGTCTGAAAACGTCCCATTTTATATTACCCATTTCTTTTTAAACTGAAGTTATTTCACGGGCAGCAGGTTTTCTTCTGAGCCATCTAAACTATACAAAAGCACCGTCCTCTTTATTTTCTCCCCTGGATTTTTTTTACCGTCAATCCGATCCGTACTTTATTCTTCTCTAAGAATTCCTGTAAACTGGCGTTAACTTTTATCATTATTAGATTAGGAGGAGAAAATCTGCAGCGCGGATAAAGGGGAGACGGAATGTATGTAGGCGTGCCTAGACGAGAAGCGTGTGAACGATCTGTGTAAAAAAATAAGGGAGCGGAGATATGGTAAAAATGCCGCAAATAATTATGTGACGACCTAAAGTTATTATATAAGTATGGTCAGATACATGTTACCAAACATTAAACAGAAACAGTACATCTGAATTATGCTTCATAATCATTTTGCCATATGTAAGTATCAGAGATGTTCTCTACTTATATCCTGTCCTGGAGTATTTTGATGCTGTCGACTTCCCTTGGATATTTCCTTGCGCCTTTGTTTACCTCTTGATTTTCCATTTTCCTTTATCCCTCTGAGTTTATGCAGAATTTGCTGTTATATACCAGAAAACACCAAAAAGTTCTTTGGTTATTTGAATTGGACAAAAAGTAGCCGGGACTGTATTCTTTGTTTCAAGGATTGCCAAGGGTACAACCTGCCTGATAAACCTGACAAGACAAACCCCTTATCCGAAGTTTCTATATCTGTGTGTTCCGATTAGCCGGTTTTTAATGAAAGGATATACGCTCACCCAAATTTACCAGATCCAACGATATAATTGAAACGGTGGTCATCACAAAAGACACGGCAAAGCAAACTCCGAGACAGTTACAATCTATTAAATCTCCTGGTCCGCACGGCATACTTGCAAAAGTCCTGGATGGAGGCGCAGACTAGCTGGCCTCTCGGATCTCCAAGGTCCTTGAAACTTCGATGGAGGCTGGGGCTCTGACTACGATTAACTGGGCCCCATATAAAAAGGGACGAATGAACCTCTTCAAATAGTCTCAGATCAGTGACTCTTGCAAAAAGCTTTTACAAACTAGTGAAGAAGATAATAAAAACAGAGTTGATGATGCATCTTTAAGAAAACAACTTGCTTAGTTTGCATACAGATGGATTTATAAGAGGTCGATCCTGTCTTAGTAACACGTCAATACCCATGCAGACCTGGAAGAAATCAGTTGAAGTTGGTTTATCAGTAAATGAAGTGTACAACGACTTTAGCAGGACTTTTGACAGTGTTCCGCACAGACGAATTACATTTTAATTACGTCGAATGGGCAAGAATGCGAATCTACTGGAATGGATAACCGCCCTTTCACATGCAGAACTGAGGGTCTTTATACCGGTAATACGAAATCGAAGTGGGAAACCCTTCACCGCTGCGCCTAGCAGGGGAGCTTTTTGGATCATTCTTTGCTTTAAATATGCGTAAACGACTGCCTGGATTACCTGGAATGCGAGCGCGTGATGTTTGTCAACGATCTCAAATTGTGGGAACCAATAGATAAGCCGGGATCTCTGTTGCCATGGCAAAATAAATTGGATCGTTCGTAATATTGCGATAAGTAGTTCCTAAACCTCAATTATAATAAATGTCAAGTTATCTGATTACGATATTAAAACAGGAGGACGGCGAGATTCGAATATCATATCTTCATCGGAGGTTACCAACTCGGATACGTTAACGAATTAATAGACCTCAATGCATGAATGGCGTACACTCACAGACCATCACTTCACTGTGCCAAAGTATCTAAGAAGGTCACGTGGCTATGCTAGGCGCGATCAGGAGATCTTTCCACAGTTGCCAGGATAAGCTTCTCGACCAATTGCTTAGAAATTTTGTCCGGCCCAGGTCGAGATAATGCGTTTAGGTGTGGCTTCGCTGGACCAAAAAAGATAGCATCCTTTTGGGGCATACACAATGAAGAGCAACCAAACTGGTCGACGGATCAAGATGCTTACCCTATGAAAGACGGCTGCAAAAGCTAGAAGTATTTTCTCTCTCTTCTAGACAATACAAAGGAGCTATGATCCTGGCCTATAGGATCGACAGAGGGCCAGACAGTGCACTGAGGTTTGGTGACCACTCTTCGAGGCCACCAGCATATACTAAAGGCGAAGCATGCTAAACTTAAAATGAAGACGAAATCCTACTCCTACCGGCGGATGGAACGAGTTGTCAAACACCGTTGTCTTGGCGGAAAGCCTTGAGACCTCCAAAAGGTCAGTTTAGGTCATTTTAAGTCAGTTTATTAAGGGAATGAGGCTTTCGCCCTTGAGCACCCTATTCATGTCGATAAACAGAAATAAAGTCATCAATTACATCAGCAAATGCGAAAAGTTAAGAAGTTAGCGGTAAGTGTGAGCCAGGCGCAAACTGCCGCCGCTAAAACAATCATGATTGTATGTACAGTAGGTTCTCAACAAGTGAGCGTCTAGTCTGCACTTAAAGGATTTAACACTTTCGGAAAGAACGACGGCATCAGGCTTAATAAACTTATGCTTGATTGTCGAATATCCGCCCAATACCAATGATTGACATAAACTTTATGTGAATATGCGCATGACTTCCAGTAGTAATTCTGTAAATCGAGTTTTAAGAGTCTGGGCATCTCCCCCAACATATATTGAATTATACTAGACCGAAATTTTGGCGCAGTAAACAACTTTTCAGAGGCAGGTCTCATAATCTGGAGATTTCTGCTCATGTTGTGCTCCTGGTCTTTGCGTTGCTCATTCAAAAATCAAATTTCTCTCTTTGTTTGGATGAACTCTGTTACCTTTCTGCACGTTTTAAGGGAAACCAGCGATTGGCTGGCTTATATAATCCAGTTGACTATGGACAACTGGTTAATCCTAAGTCCATGTGTACTGACCACACACAGAAACGAAGCAGACCAAGTGTGCTGTCGCCGCCGCACGAGGTAGACTCAGGGGGTTCTGCGTGAAAATGTTTATAGTGATCCAGGCTCGTGCGTCAGTCACCAAACCCTCTTCCTTCGCTCACCTTGTTTTGGCGGACGACGGCTTTAAGGCAGGCGTAGGTGGGCGCGGATGCGGTGTCCGACGAAGTCAAACAAGCCACATACAGGTGCCGCACACTACTCGGTCTCCACGTTATTTACCTGGCTGCCATAACAACAACTAGGACCTGACATAGGTAAGAATACCATAAAGGCCACAATGAGAAAGGAGTTCTGCGGCCTGACGCTTAGTCCTTAGATGCTCTGAGTTATCCAGTTAGTTGGCAGCCTTTGGAGCCGCGATTGATAGCTCGTGTTAATAGATTTAGGCTCGCCCGGGAAGAACACCAGCAAAGATCCTAACAGAAACGCTGATGAGGCTTATGTCACGGTAGTTCTATTATTTTATCTTGTCCGCCTTCTCTGACACAGACACAAAAATGTCCAAGCCTCAGTCATCAGGAGCGATTCCACCTGCCCACGCTTGTTCAATCACTTCATGGAGTCAGGACGTCAGTTTCAACACAAGACTTGTAGATTTCAGTGCAAATACCGTTCTGCCCGGACGCCTTGGTGTTGTGCAGTCCCCACATTGCAGTTGCGATGTCTCTCTGAGAGGGATAACATGACACTGCTTTGACTGAACAGGGATAAAACCGCTGCGCAGGAGTGCGGAAACTGTCATTCAGTGCAGGGAGCTTTCCACTAACTTAGCTGACAATGCCGTAGTGTTTAAGTGTCATCAACTCTTGAGGCCTGCTCCATGGAAGTCATTTTTCAGTTCAATATTTCCACCGGTCATCCCTAGATAACGTTGTCATTTTCCGATGGCAGGAGGAATCATCGTTGCGGGGTCTGTCTGGAGCCCCCTGGGCAGATAGCTGCAAGGTCCTTCCGCCGATCCGGTCGCAGTGACGCCGCTGGGTAAAGTCAGGGACTTTCTTAGCTGCCTCACACACCAATGACGCCAGTGATGGCCGTTGATCACTGCCTTCTCCGTCGGGGCGGGCGGTAAAACGAGACCGGACTTCTGTGGACCTGCTTCCTGCCAGACTCGGGTTTTAAGTCTTTGTCTTTATTGACGTCCCTGGGTATCCGTACCCCATCCCCACAATTGTCTCAGCCATCGTAACTAAGTTGTCTTCGATTTTTTGCATCCCTCGGCATTCTGACATGGTCTCTGTTAACCTTTTACTGATTTTTTTTCTTGTTTTAACAATATTTGGTCAATTTCGTAGTCAGTTTTTATTCGTATTTTCCCGCGAGATAATTTTGCTCAAGAACTAACCGGACCTTTGTAGATCGTTACAGACCCCTATTTGCTGTTCAGCGAAGCTTGCATCTAAATAAACCGGAGTTTTATAAAGTCAGTAATTTTGTATGACCCTAACCATTCATAAAGTTGAAGAACTCAAATTTCTTTGCCATTTTTCTATAACCCCGAAGTCGAATGCTACCCACACCCTGTACGGACGTGTTGAATCAGCCTCAGTTCGGTGATGTGTACCCTCCGTCCCAGGATTCCTTCTTGTTTTTGGACGCTCTCGAAAAAGATTCGCAATTCTTGACGGAGTATCTAAAGCCTACTGTTGCCATAGAGATCGGGTGTGGCTCTGGCATTATATCAACTTTCCTATCAAATTTACTTAGAATTCCCACCATGTTCATCGGCGTCGATATATCGGAGAAGGTTTGCCTCAGGGCCTTCTAATTTTGTAGGCTTGTTTAGCCACCAAATCCGTTTTTACATCTAACATCTCACCGGGCTTCGTTGATTCTGTTTGTGGAAATCTTCTGTCAGCTTTCAACGACCGGGCTTCTGGGGTCGCGGACATAATTTTATTTAACCCTCCATACGTCCCCACCTCTGTATCCGAAGTCAGGAATGCCGGCTGCTCGGCAGCTGCTGCCTGGGCAGGGGGGATTAAAGGGAGACAGGTACGCGTTAAGGCATTTATAAGTATTTTCAATTAGCTTTAAACCAGTTCCCCTGTTCAAGTTCCTTCCATTTTAACTCATTCCTCACTTCTATCCGTGCACCTAAGACGTCTTTGTGTTTAGTCCCAAGTCCATTTAATGTGGTATTTGTACTTATGTACATAGTTTTCCAAAGTTTCTCTCGAACACTGTTTTGTCGTATATTTTCATCTGACCGACAATTAGACCGTCGGTTTCGACGGTGTCCACCATGGGCTTTACAGCAGGATGAAAACAGGGACGGTGACTTGCGCGCGAGTTAGTTTATAGACTTGCGCAGCATCTACCTGACTCTCCTCCACCCGCGCCCGATGTCAAGACGTAACCAGGAAGACCGGAGATGGGACAGGGTGGCCGCTCGGATCCCATTAGGTGAGAGAGCCATAAAGGCCACATTAAGGAGTCGTTACAGCCGGACTCTCGGACCACCAGTTCGCCACTCAACACGAGCACGCACTGGATTGACTGCGAGGTCCAAGTTATCCCGTTAGTTGACAACCTTCCAAGCTACGGCTTTTAGCACACCCTTATAGCTTTAAGCGCGTCAGATTGCTTATAGAGGAAAGTGCGCTGAGCCGTCGACCTTTCTATTCCCATTCCCAGTCTCCTGCTCCTGTCTGAGCTGGTCAGATGTCTGGTGTGGGGAATTTTCGCAGCGGCTGACGTATTTAATGACCTCGTCTGTGCGCTCCACAAGCACGATCTGGCTCCCCAAGTGCACACGCAAAGGGATAGGACTCGGGTCTCACATGTATTAGGTGAGCCACACGGACAAAAGCACACTTCTCACTTACGTGAGAGGTGCCGGTGATGTGGGATTTTGGCGGGGTGTATGTGTGGAGGACGTGTTGGTGGGGGAGTGTGCGGTGATGTGGTCGTGTCTGCGGTGATTTACCGCACGTTTTAATGAGACACATGTGACCCCATAGGCCCATACAGTGAGTGTATGTGCACGGACAGTATCTGCAGTTAGGGCCGATGCGGTGGCTGAATGTTGATGCTCCTAGCACTGGCTCGCCAGCCTCGGGGATGGGTTCGCAAGTGACCGGCCAGGCCGATGCGTAATGTACATTTACAGTGGCAGTGAGGGCATGACAGGTTTGGGGCTGTAGAATCGGTTGGTGTGATGTAGGTGTCATCCGTGTCCATGCTGGTAGATTGGAGTTGCTAGTGCCAGATGTTGGGACGCTGTCGGGCATGCAGGGTCTGTTTGTGGTGTCGATATCACAGTGAACTCAGCTTTCATGGGTGAACATGTGACCAGATAGGCCCGTGCGATGAGTGAATGTGCGAGCGGTGATGGCGGGTTAGGTCGGGGATATAGGCACTGGTGCACCTGTCACAGCGCTATAGGGTGGCAAGTGACCGGCCACGGTGATGTGCGAGGTGAATGTGCGGTCACAGTAAGGGCAGTTTGGGACCGATCCCACATTGATGGAGGTGGGAGTGGTGATGAAGCTGTTTATGTTTGACGAGGCGTCGGGAGCGTATCGGTGGGTGGCGGGGCGGTGTAGGTGGTTGTGCTCGTTATCACTGCCGTGATTGTGGCAGGGATGATGGGGGTGGCTGTGAGCGACGGTGGTGGGGCACGGGAATTCAGAGAAACGGTGGTGAGGACAGGTGCCGTCGTGGTCGGCGGGGAGGGGAGGGGGGGTTGGAGAAGGGGCGGTTGTGGAGGCTGCATTTGCAATTGTTGGGCGGTTGGTGCATTGGGTCCGAAGATGACCGACGAGACCGATCCGCGCACGAAATGTTCGTTGACAGTGCGGGCACGTTAGGTGGGGTTGAGTGGTGATGTTGCGGATCGCAGGGGCTGAGACTTGCGAGCAATCCTTTTGGCTTTGCGGTGGCGATCCGGTTTGCTTCGTATATTTCTTCATCCCAGTTGGTTCTGGACGCGTTTACCCCAGGCCCTCGTTTTGATCTGTAGTCGCTTCAGGGAGTTCTTCCGTGTCCATGCAGCGTCGTTTTTGTTCTTCTCGGCGAGCACCCGTAGACACATCTCCGTTGAAGAGTCGTTTGAGTAATCGCGCACTGTCCACCTTCACCAGGCGGATGCTCCATCGCAGTTGCAGTTGCCGCAGCATGGCGTGTATGCTGAGAATTTCGGTCCGTTTTAGGGCTTCTGTATCCGGGATCCTGTCCTGCCATCTCAACTCTAGTGTTCTGCGGAGGCAGCTGAGATGAAAATGGTTGAGTTTCCTGGCAGGACTAGAGTAGACGGTCCAGGTTTCCGATCCGTACGGTGTTGCCATAACGACAGCTTTACGCATCTTTAGCTTGGTGCTGAGGTGGAGGCCCTGACGGTCCCATACGGAGTTCTGCGGCCAGCCGATGGCTTTGCTGGCTATGGAGACTTGGTGAGACACTTCGTCATCGATTCCGATGCAGCGTGAGAGTGTGCCACCTAAATAGGCGAAGTTGTCCACGGTCTCCAGTTCTGTGCTGTTGACGTGGATGCGAGGTACACTGTGTGCAGCGATGGGTTGCGGTTGGCCCATGATCACCGTTCTTCCGTGTTGATGGTTAGTCTGAACTTGGCGTACCCGGCGACGAAGAGGCCCATGCTCCGTTGCGTGTTTTCTTCGGTCGTGGCGTTGGGTGCGCAGTCATTCGCGAAGAGCAGGTTGTGGACTGTAGCCGTGGGAAGACGCGTTGAGGCCTGGGTGCTCCGGCTATTGAGAGGATGCTCGTCCGTCTCTTAGGCACTACGCATCCCGGGGCGATCATCACGGTAGGCGTCCATCAGCATGGCAGAAAATACGAGACTGAAGAGGACAGGGGCGAGCACTCACGCCGTTGGTTACTGCAAATGCCTCAGAGAGCCCCAATGTCCGTGACGGGTGCCACCATCCCGTCGTCGAGCTGGTAGTCTTTTTCGCCTCTCCTGCCTGGGAACATCGAACGTCTCATCCCCACGCCTGATGTTCAACTGAGAGGTGTGATAAACAGATAGGGCAACCTTGTTATCCAGCCGTGTCTTCATTTGGGCAATCTGATCTTTTAGACCGACGACTGAAATGTCCCTCAGATTCGATTTCTAAGCGTCGATCTATCCACACATCCTCTTTGAGCTAATTCCCTATTTCAGTCAGCACCCTACCCGGTATCAGGCCTGATGTTGTGGTCTTTTGGTCAAAGCCGCTCACGGATTATAAGAAGCCAGGAGCGTATTGTGTGGTCGGTTAAGGTAAAAAACCGGGGGCAAGGCTCGTGAGCAGAGGCGGCCTAAGATCGTCATGGGCTGGTTAACCGTTCTGTTCTTTTTGTTAAAGTTCCCGGCCAACAATATGGCTTTTATCACTGTACTCAGTTACAGAATCAATTTGTTCGTTGCCTTAGTTCACGTCGTTATCCGACATTTTTCCGATCTTAATTGGATTAGGGTATGTCGGGCTTACCTTGGGATACGAATTCCCTATATGCAAATTTCATACTGGCGCCTCCACTCCGACACACGTAGTCATGCCGTTAAAACTCGCCCGTTGCGTTTTAAATGTAGCTTTTATACGGTCTGTGCAAATGACTTGGGTTTGAGCCCCTCAATGAACAGTTCATTTGTCACGAACAAAATTTGCACAGGACTTTATCTGTCGCAGGCGTCTGATTACTACTTTTCTAGATGGACGTATGTGAGCAACTTTCACATACTGTTTTTAACTTCGTAGTGGTGCGCGGTTCTAGGAAAGTAGATTATCCGTCCGCATGACCTTCCTTATCGGAGTTGCCTCCATGCACAACTGGCCAAGCTGGTCGGTCTTAGATGGAGAAGTGGGCGTTAGGTGTGGACACAGCACAGATAACATAGTTGGTTTTCGGAATATAACGATAATTACCCCCCAGTCAGGGGCGAAGTGCCACTGTTGGCCCCCCTAACTCGTTCCATCACCCCGACTCTTCTCTTTTTATATGACAGCGAATAAGTATCCAGTAGGTCCTTTGTACTCAGGCATTGTCAAAGGAGATGACATAAAATCCTGGTCACCGGCCTTCTTTCGGCTGTTATGGCTTTCTCCGGTTCCATGTGGAGCGGTCAAAATCATTTCTAATTTCATTTCCCTAATCAGGTTATCGACGAATTCATCCCTCAGGTGTCATCCAGACTGTCTAATAGAGGCGTCCTCTATCTTCTTCTCCTTCGCGAAAACTGTCCCTCGGAAGTGCATGAACTCGTCCGCAAAACCTCAAACGGTCGTCTGTCCGAAACGGTTTGCCTCCTGGAGCGTACATGTTGCAACGAAAGTCTCGCAGTGTATCGGTACTACGACCCTACCGTGTACGACCGGCTGTTTGAAATATAAGTTACTTAACAAAATAACGATCTTTACTCATTCAGTTGTATACTGGCTCCTCGCTTAATTTTGGCGCAATCGCAACCCCATAATTCGTCCCTAGACTTTGAACCATCGCATATTACCTTTCGCTCTCTGTAACTAACACGTATCACCGTCTACGCTGACGTGAGAAAATACCCAAAGGCTCTCTGGTATTTTCAGCTTATGATAATGTTCTGCCATCATAGGGGGCGATCGGTAAGCATCAATTTACACAGGCAATACAAGTGCCTCCAGGGAACGGTCCGCTTTGGGGCGTGTACGTTAACCCTGTCTGACCATGTGTCGCCGAGCTGAAGTCCTGCGGTTGTACAAGGACCTCTTGAAATATGCACAAGGTGTCCAATACTCGGACCGCGCCTACCTCTCAAACCTGTTCAAGACGGAGTTTAGGAAGCATGCAAAGGAGACTGACGCAGTTTTTATAGAATTTTTGTACACAGTAAGATGAAATCCTACCTTACTTAAATAACAATGCTTCTGTAGAAAGGACAATCGGTACTCCGCAACAGACGCTTTATATGAACGCTGACAAGCCCGACAAAGGCGTCCAGTTCTCGGTGAAGACCAACATTTCTCACCCTATACGTCAATATTATTACCTAATTAGAAATCTTGGTCCCGATTTCGACCGTTTTCTCCACAAGCCTACGGTTTTTATGTCCCATTTTTGAAAAGTCGTCTGACCTCACAACTTGAGCTGCCTTCCGGCCAACGCCCAGTTTCACTAAGTTAGTGACACTTTGAGACTGACGTCCTAATTTATTTATATTGTTGGGAGCACGCATCCGTGATGCACCGATCGGATTCAACGCGGGTTGGGAAAACTTGAATGGGTCGCGTGGAGACCATAGGCCTCATAACTGAGGCCTGGCTTGCGACCGTGATTTTCATTGACAAAATGGTTAGTCCAGCCAGCCTACCAAAATGAAATAACGTCGACGAAGCTGGACTGTTTTTCTGTTTACCTATCTGCCGTTAGCACACCAGAGGGGTCACTCGTCTTTCCCCCACTAAATCTGCCCTCTCTTGTCATTGTGTCACAACTGTATCTCATCCGGAGATAAAAAGGAAGAGTGATTCGTAAGAGAATACTTTTGAGTGGCTATGCCGCCGAAAATGTCCGTTAAAAGATAAAGGGATAGGGTGCAGAGCGAGCACGTTTTGGTCTTTTCAGATGAAATAGAAAGACATCGGCTGAGAGATGATGAACCGGTGTGAGGTACCTAAGGCTCAGGAAGTGGTCGTGCTCCAGCGTGTTCACTGCTATCCGTTGTGCCATTGTCATCCTGGTCGTCGAACTCACCCGCTCGAATCGGCAAGGTCACGGACGCTGATGCCGGTGGCACCTTTTTCTGGCAGAGGTGCCGTCTATTCCTTTCTACGTAAGCACTCCACTTATGGTGGTTGAGCTTAGTAAAGTCCGGCTCCAGTAGTGCAATAAGGTCAAGATAGTCGGCCAAGTAGAGGAGCTCTTTGTCTGTTGCGTAATTCACGTGCGCATCTCTGTAAGAGTGAATCTGGTGATTGAGGACAAAAATGTTCCTTTTAGAGAAATCTTGCTTAGCCGCGTGGATGACAGTCTGTTTTAGAGGAAACACGTGATATAAGTCTATCTGAAATGTTGTGACGCTTCATAGGAAAGACCGGCACAAGATCCTGGAGGACTGTAAACCCTACTAACGAAAGCATGGCGCTGCTTACGAGGCATAAATGCCCAACACTTGCACGCTGTTATTTGAGGTGGCACTTAAGGTTCATTAACCGACTCGTCCGCCAGTGTATCGTGAACGAAAGTCATCATAAATATCGGCGTTCTTACTATTAATGAAATGTAAACAAAGTGGCTGTCGGAGGTGCGCATACAACTCAGGCCCCGAGGATTCACCGGACATCATGTGCTCGGTACATCCGCAGGGCGAGTTTACAAGTGCTCACATTCGTGTCACCAGTGAGCCACCCAGTTCAGTTTTTCATTTTAGTTCATTCTGACCTTTAAGGTTCCACACGGTGAATTCGTGACTGTAAGAGTACGACTCGGTTGCATGCGAGGCCACTTTTCGAATACTCGGTGTAATTTATGGTACTTTTACTTACTTGTACATGACACGGCTGCGATCATGCCTGATCTAGCTGGCCTCAATGATGTCCCGAACTGTACCTCTCCACGCGTGACGATCCGCGGCAGCAGATATGGACGGCTGAACCCATTCCTTTCGCCAACGACGGAGACCGAATACCGAAGGTCCAAGAACCACCTCTATATCTTGACGAGCTGTGTCGAGCCAGGTTTTGAACTGACCCCCTCTTCGACGCCTTCAATGGGGCAACGGTGTTGGATCGAGGGCAGTAACACTGAGCTCCTGAGGTGGAAGACGAAGAACATGCCCGAACCACTTCAGTCGTCTTTCTTGGATGGACTGAGTTATCCTTGCTATGTTGTCGCAACGAGCGCGGACTGTCCCATTTGAGACGAAGTCGGTTAACTTCACTCGAAGGACGGTCCTCGAGCAGTGGTGGTCAAATACCTCCAGTTTTCGCTCGTCCTCAACGCGCAAAGCCCAGCATTCACAACCGTAGAGAAGGACAGACCGGACAGATGCACGGTGCACGCGGATCTTAGTGGCGATGGAGAGGTCACGTCGGTTCCACAGTCATTTCCGAAGGCTTGAAAAAACCAAGCGGGCAGCATCGATTCGGGAGACAATGTCGTCCTTACTCTGTTTATTAGGCAGCAGCCTCGCCCCAAGGTATTTAAAACTGTCTACTTCTTCAAGTTGACAGCCATCAATCCCGAGGGGAGCCTTCTCCTGGTCAGGGATGCAGCTTGAAAGCACTCTGGTCTTCCCAGCGTTTATGGACAAACCGATCGATTTAGCGACCTCGTTCACCCGTGACACCATAGACTGCAGATCATCAAAACTTGAAGCAAGTAAGGCGATATCATCGGCATAGTCAAGATCAGTCAGTCGATGTCCGGGTGCAAACTCAACGTCGTCACTGTCGCGTGGGGCCCTCCCGAGGATCCAGTCAATAGCGTAGTTGAACAGTATGGGTGACAGGATACAACCCTGTCGGACGCCAGACCAAATACCGAACGGTTGGGAAAGATTGTTACGGACCAGGACTCTCGCAGTAGTGGAGCGATAATAGGCCTTGGTCATGGCTATTATTTTTGCTGGTACACCATCTAACGCCATTATCCGCCACAGGGACTCACGGTCAACGGAGTCGAACGCGGCGGCAAAGTCAATGAAGCTGACGGTCGTCGGTTGTTGGTAGCTATGACGAAATTCAAAATGCGCCTCAGTGTGAATATCTGGTCTGCGCATCCACGTCCAGCACGAAATCCGGCTTGGTTGGGCCTCGTCCTTGAGTCACGCGCAGCCTGGAATCGCCTGAGTAGGACAATAGCGAGGATCTTCGCAGCAACGTCGATGAGACTTATGCCGCGGTAGTTCTCGCATTTTGTCTTATCTCCCTTCTTGAGGATAGGTACAAGGATGCCTAAGCCCCAGTTATCAGGAACAACCTCGTCTCTCCACGCTCGTTCAATCACCTCATGGAGCCAGGGCGCCAGAGTGTCGACACAAGACTTGAAGATTTCAGCGGGTATACCGTCCTCTCCAGGTGCCTTATTGTTGCGCAACTTTCGTATGGCATCGGCGAATTCTCCCTAGGTGGGGGTATCGCATTGCACTGTATAGGTAGAGGGGGGAAGAAACTCCGCTGAGGACGAGAGCAAGGGCGAGGTAGGTTGGGTATCGAAGTTGACATGGTGCTCAATGCTCACGCCAGCGCTCGACTTTGGCCGAGTTGTCAGCAATATAAAGCCGCCGTTCACATAGCGAACAGAGTCACTCAGTGTGGAGGGCTTACCGCTAACTTGGCGGATCAGACGGTAGAGCTTTCGAGTGTCACCAACGTTCGAGGCCTGTTCAATGGGGGTCGCTATTTCAGCCCAATATTGCTTCCGGTCATCCCTGGCCGATTTTGCCGTCATCTTCCGAAGTTGGCGGAAGTAGTCATCGTTGCGAGACCTGGCTCTAGCCGCCCGAGCAGACAACTGCAGGGTTCTTCCACTGATCCAGTCACTGCGGCGTCGCTGGGTGTATCCAAGGATTTTCTCAGCTGCCCCATAAACTGAAGTCTTCAGTGACGACTACTGGTTACTGACTTTTCCGTCGGCTCGGGTCGTAAAACTGGTTCTTGATGTCGCTCCATATTAGAGGCACAGTGTCTTACAGACACCTATAGTCTAGAGAGGCTGTGCTTTCATCCGCAGGATTATCGATCAAGGGAGGTCCTCATTGCCAGTCATAGAGCATACGTCACCTCAGCATAATAACAGAGTCAGACGGGTTATGGTAAGCCGGGTGTTTCCTACTTTCCAAGGAAGTGGTTTCCGAATTCCTCTCCTGAGACCATATCTTCGGAAGGATAATTTACTCAACGCGTCTCCGCTACAGGTGGAGTTTGTGGGAATCAGAGATGAGAATGTCTGTTCGCAACCATATATCGCTACTCTGAAGAAGTTTTCTGGAAGTCATGTTGGGGATACCCAACCTACGGAATCCCTACTAATGAAGTCAGCGTCGACTAAATTATAGTTCCGGGGACGGACTTGAAACTAAGCTTGAGCGTTAAAGTTAAATACATTCAGTCCGATTTGCGCGTAAGGAAGGATGGAATGCCTTATGCTCGTTTGCATTATGTAGACACATGGGCGAAGAGGATTAACGGTCAAAGACAGAACACAGGTGGAATACTTTGTGGATGACACAAGTGCGGCTGTGACACCGGCAACATTTGGACACCATGTCTAAGTGTTGAGACCAGCATTCCTAAGGCACTATCTAACCAGCAAACTGTAGGCGGGCCAGCCGTTTCGTTTTACGAAGTGTAGGCGCAAGTGGGGGAAAGTGTACTTCTTCGTTTATCGGACAAGTTAGGCTACGCAAACACGATCTCTGACGCACTATCAACATGTAGGTTGCTGGATTTCTTGTCACATATTGTGGCATTAACTTGGCCTGTCCTGTAAACCCTATTTCCAATACGAGCGGACACCGAGGTGGACCAGGGCTATTTTGTACACAAATCCTAATACCCAAATCGATATCTATATCCACTCAATGGAACCTCGACCATTTTGGTTTCCTTCCGCCTCAAAAGTATTTCTTTGAAAACGGTACGCAGGTGACTAAAGGAGCGGTAGCAAGTGGCGCCCCGAAGTGGGTCACCTGGCTCGTGCACGGGCAATCACAACTGGCTGGTTAATGTGCAATGTGCATCCTAGACGGTGACCGTGGATCTTAGGTCGCGTGACTGCCAGTCAAATAAGTTAGGCCAACGTACACACGCCGCCTTAAAATCCTATGATCTTTCAGTTGATTTGCAGATTGCGGAGGATGATGGTGCAAATTGTCTGCTGTTCACTTCATCAGTCCGACTCAAGGACTGGTGCTCATGGATGACAACTCGTTTTTAGATGCGGCGTGTACCTCGCTTGGAGCACCACAGACACATTGGCCCAGTGTCGTTTACGTCCCGAATCGTCGAAAGAATAACATGGCAGCTGTAGAATGCTAAGCCACGTCAAGTCTGACGGCTGTACGAAGGTTCGCGGTGACGTTTTGGTTTTAATCTCATTCGCGTTTGTGTCGCTTAAAAAACAAGTTCCCTGAACTCTGAGGTGGCCCTCCACTTCACCGCCCGACGTGTTCAGTGACGGAAGTGAGCAAAGACTACGGTGTTGTGCTACCGCAGTTGCTGTGACGTCTGGCGTCGGGGAGGTGCTCGGCTAAGGTGGAAGTGGTTTACAATTACCACACCAGATCAATAAAATCTGCGGATTGGAAGCCTACGATACGAAGACCAGCTGCACCTTTAAGGCAGCTACATTAGATCGCAGATAATTCAGCCGTTCCGCTTGCGTGAGGCGGTGACCGTGTCAGTAATGTGGGAGTTGGTCATCCTGCAGTTCGCACACAGCACCATACGACACCAGTAAAGGCGTGTCTAGTCCAAACAGCCTGTACTCGCAAGGTCACAGCTCTTTTAGTTGGAGTTCGTCTCATCTGTCAGCACAGACTAGATGGTCGCTTGATTAAGTGGAAAAGGACTAAGATTCGTGTCCTTCGGCAATGCCGTTGATCCGACATAGTAGTATGATTGAGACAAATGGGACTACCCAAGGCTCCGCTGTGAACTTGTGCGAAATGGGTTAAAATGCGAATTTTCTTATTCACCTCATAAGTACAACTAGTTTCTGTTTAACCGAGTTTGTTACTCAGTCACAGCTTGGAAACTAGCGCGTGGCAACACGAGCACCAATTATATCGTGCCTGGAGCTTGCATGTCATAGACAATACATACGGCTGCTGCGCAAAGCTCATTGAACATGGCAAAGAGCGGTAATTATGTAAGCTGGTGATCAGGAAGTTGGCGTCCCAAAACGTGTTGGCGGACGGTGAAGATAAAGATGTAAAAAGAGGTGGAAATTAAGAGTACGGCCGCTGGTGTTATCTTGGCCGTGGACACGAGGAATAAAAAGACTATCATAAATAGGGAAATACCCTCAATCCAGACTGCGGATTCATTGCAAAATTCCTGCGGACGTCGTCGAACATTATGGTGTTCTGGGGTCCATAACGTGGGAACCGATTCCAAATCACGGCAAGCGGTTTAACCTGACATATGATAAAGGCGATTAATGCAAACAATCCAAAAGAAAGCTTAACACTTCAGTAGAAAAATGCAATATGAAAATGTGTGCACATCTGGGAGGCGCACAAAGTTGATAGGACAAAGAAGGCTAACCTCTTTAACACCATGCTCCTCAAGATAGACACTAATCATTGCACCAGAGTCGACCAGCAAACAAATTTTAAACGGCAAATCTGTTTCGTACAGTGGAATATTCGAGGCATGGTCGGGTCTCTGAGTTGTCGACCTTGACTCAACCTGCTGTTGACGAACTGCGTCGGTGGTGCTTTTAGGAATTAGATTCATCTGGCCTATTTTTGCCAATATCCATGTCATGCTTGTTGCTGACCAAATGGCGATATCGTAGTTAACATAAGCCCTGGTAAGCAGCTCGTGGAGGTAGGGACGCATAAGCTGTTTGGCTGACTCCGCGGGTGTAAGATGGTCTGTATGAAGGCAAATGGAAAAAAATGGTTCCAGCATCATGTGCATTCAGCGAAAAACCTGAACTATTCCAAACAATGGTGCTCCGGTACGTATAAACCTGTAAACAACTCTAGTTACTCATGAAAAGACAAACTCGAGAGAAAGAGAGAGTCAAGTATATAATGCGATTACCAAAAATAGTATAGTCGATGTCCAGGACAAGAAGACGCTTATCGGGCCTCATTTCGCAAATTTGGGTAAATCTATAAGTCTCGGACCTTTTCTGGACTTTTTCCAAGTTTTCGGGCCTTAATTCATATTATATGACGATACTTTCGTACCTCTGGAATGCTTTCAAATCTTCCTCATTGAAGTCAAAATCGTCAATACTTTCCGACACAACCGAGTCCGCAGCCTTCACAGTATTCTACAGAAACGAATGCACACAAAGAAAACGAGCGTTACTATGGCTTCTTCGGTAGACCCTATTAGCATAATTTTGGTTGATGGTTTGATGTTTAGGTACTGGATGGCCAAATCGTCTGAAACAGTCTTGCCTTTTGTGAATTGTCAAGCTTTAAACTCGCCAACCTAGAACAGCAGCTAGGCCTAGCAGCTTTTGATTTCGTGGAGGAACCATTGTTAGTTCATATAGCTTCTTCTTCAGGTCGAACACAGTCGATTCACTCAGAAGGTCCGATATCACAAAGACCTTTCCATTATATTTTACGCTAATTTCCATTGCTATCTGAAATATCCAGGTCCGGCTGTGTGCCCTGTTGTGATGTGACGTCTCCTCCTGATAAATTCTTAGGCTTGTCGATGTTAATTTTGTAAGGAATTACAACACCTGAACTTGTAGGGTGCGAACAGCATAATTGAACGCGCGGGTCTGAAAATATGACAGGGACAATCAGTTTTATAAACATACATTATTGTAGCACTCGAGTGCACGGACCAGTATTACATCCACGTCCTTGTCGAGGCACAGTCTTCACGTCAGTGCTTTATCCAAATGTTACCGTCCGACCTCACATATATTAGATGCCAATCACACGCAATTAGCGCCTGGATAACCTGAACTCAGACGCGTAGGGACGAGTCAATTATTTAGTTATTTATTTGATCCAACTGGGCAATACTCGAAGGCTTTAATGATACTCGAACTCACGACAGTAAGGACAAGAAATGACCACAACGAACACTCTAGTCACTTAAGATACGAGTGTCCAAACCAGCAAGAAATTCTGGAATAACTGATTATTCCCACGCAAGTACCCCTCTGGAGATGCGCTCCTGCCGCAGCTGAGTAAGTTCCGACAGTGATATCCATAGTTTTCACAAAAAATTATGACATTTTTTAAAATTAAATATGGGCGATCGCCGTTTATCTCTACCAGTTACACTATTGGTGTGGTATTTTAGACGGACAATTTCAGGATTAAAATGTAGGCATAATGACCCTTAGCTATCTTGGTGATACGAATAGCATACCTTTATTGTACGTTAAACTAACTTGACCAGCAATAAAAACGGAAATAATGTTGGAAATACGAGTAATTTCGAGTACGGCCATATTTTACGCATAAGGTCAGTGTAAAGTGGTGAAATATCCGGAAATTTGAACGCTGTCTGAGTGCCTCTGGAAATCAAGTCACAGTATTTTGCCGTTATTGAGACCTATGTTCGAACTGACCATTTTGGCAACTGAAGACCACCGCTTGAAGGAAGAGACACACTCGGATATTTGCAAATCGGTATCCTAAATTTACCACAACACAACCCTATAAACAGATGTTGTATGATTATTTTGACGTGTCGGAATATATGCTGCATATGCTCTAATTTGCTAGTCGTTTTTTCTCGTCCTGACTAGTTGGCCTGCTTTTGTTGCGTTACCTGCTTGTGAACACGGGGAACGTCACTGTACCTCGCTCTGCCGTGCACTGCCGCACGTACCTCTGTGTCTCTTAAATAATTTCTCATCAGTTTACCATGCATTCCGAATTTGTTTTGGTAAACCTACATAAATCATATACACTTACAATTGTGGTTGCCACTTGATCCTCCGTTGTTACTGCACTATATGAAACTTTTCCACCCTAAGTCGACTACTCCCTGTTAACGTCTACCCGTATATATAGGAAATTATCTTGGTTAAAATTCTAGTACGTCATTTTACTTTTAACGATAATTCTTTTTCATCGTCCGCTGTTTAGGTCGATTTATCGACCGGGAGGAGTACTATATTGTTCTAGTTTTCACTCTGGATAGCCTCGACGTTATGCGCAAATTAAAGTTAATTTTATTTTGCTGTACATATAACTGCCAGGTGTTTGTTATATTAAAAGATGGTTTTCTTTAACAAAACTTATGTGGGTGACAGTTGGGACCTTCGGTCTCTTAGTACCAGGAATTTGACGAAATTTCTAACCATACACTGCCTTATCCATAGATTTCCTCATAAGAACCATTTGCACAAACTATCAATTCCAGAGCTCCAAAGATCTAATTATTAGAAGTATTTTTTTCCTGTAAATCTTATCTAAATTTTCAGCGATTTTTGAACAAACAAATCAGAGCTAAACTACAGCGTAGGTAATCTCATGTCTTACTGTTTTCATTTAGAATCCTCAGGCAATCCTTCGCCGAAGATTGAACGAAACTAATATCCAGGTTTCCTATTTAACTCCTACCGTCAGTATGGAAGGACGAGACCATGGCGCATTTGAAAATTTCCAGAACTTTATATCTAAAATCTGCTTATTTTCTATTTTATTGGTGTCCATTTTTAAGGGAAAATATCGGCGCTTTCTTCTTAATGGTATGGGGAACTCGTGTCCTTCGTTGACCATGTTGTTGGTGAGGCCGATGATAGGCGGAAACAACACTTTACGTTCCCAGGAGAAGACAGTCTCTTGATATCGACATTCTATCTCTTTTATTCCTGTGGATCTAACTTTCAGGTCGCGGAAGCCAAATTACTTTTGTCTAGTTGCAAAACTCCACCCATTTTGGTCAAGCTGCCTCTACCGACAAAGGCAGACTGTATTTTCTCCCACTGGGTCCGCTCAGCTTAATGACTTTGAGATAATAAACATTTTATTAGCTGGAGTAAAACTCCAATTGAACTTAGAGTTTCTCTCTCGTCAGCAAGGAAGATGATCTTCACAGATTCTACTTATTCGAAATTCGTTTTTGAAGTTGGATCTCCGTCTCACATTTGCCAACTTCTCTCTGTATTTCCTGCTGCTTAAGTTCAGTTCAGCTCTTCACCTAGTCACATTGTCTCTAATCCAAATGAAACCTGCCGTTTTGTAACTTATCAAAAAACGTCGATCGCTCAAAATATGTGAGTAATTTTATTAGGACGCTTGATCTTACTAACAAACCGTGGGGTCGCAGTCGATATCCAAGGCACAGAGTGGCGGCTTAGTTCAAAAACGGGGTAGAAATATTTGAATTAGTTTCGAAAATGAAACTCGCGCGAGATAGGCGTAGGGAGTCTTTAACTATTGTTGTTGTGAATGCTTCTAAATCAGTTGCTCAGATGTTCTGTCAGAGATCATCTGCTAAATCTTACCAAGTTATTCCGCCTTTGCATAGTACCAGCGATGCCTTTATTACAGAGGACTCAGACAAAGCAGAAACGTTCAATCAAGTCTTCGCCAAACATTTCACCTTTGAAACTGAGCCAATCCCTTTAATTCCTCCGTTGTCTGATACCTCTCTTAGCATCATTAATTCTTCTCCTGAAACTATTCGAAAACTGCTACACCATCTTCCTAACCCTCCTTCAGTAGGTACGGACAATATCCCAAACTCTCTTATAAAATAGCTAAGACACTTTCCTCCTCTGCTTAGCAAACTCCTTTCAGTATTTCTCATAAATGGCTTTTATCCTGACTATTGGAAAACGTTATATCAGAGTCTGATTTGTACATTTGTTACATGCTTTGAACATTTCCACCTGTTATGGCAATATCTTTTTCGTATGAGTCCTCCACCAGTTTAATAGGAATGCACTAATTACTTGTGCATATAAGCCGTGCTATACCGGCAAAGAATGCCATCATTGTGAACTTATTGGAAAAGTTACAGAGATTCAGTTTGATGTCGAAATAATAGTAGACGATTTAAATTTGCCAGAAATCGTCCGTCAAACAAATGCTTCTCCACCTAAATGCCAGACGATTGTTGATAGTACCAACTTTTCAAACCTACACCAATTATTGCCTGTCGACCAGAAACGATGGTATAATATTTATGATAGATGGGCGCTCATAGATCAGGTTACGGAACATGATTGTCCCGTTGTGCCTTGGGGCTCGAACTAGAACCCTCACAGGCAGTCGCATAACGATTAGTGATGTATGTATATATGCATGCAGTATGTTATAACGGACAAAGATAAGGGAGACTGGAATGGTCATTTCTGGCTTATTAACCATTGTCAGTCAGTCAGTCATACCCAACACTGAGACTTGAACTCGCGGCCTGCTAGTTAGAAGTCCACGTCTCTAACCACTGGGCCATGAGCCAGTTTTCCTGTGGGTTCTGATCGGGAATATCCGATGGTAGGGGACGCTCACCGACAGGGTAACAGGCTAGTGGCCCAGTAGTTAGAGGCGTGGATTTCTAACTAACAGGCTGTGAGTTCGAGCCTCGGATGTTCCATACTTCGGGATTGGGTATGACCGGCTGACGACGGCTAATAAGCCAGAAATGACCATTCCAGTCTCCCTTGTCCTTGTCAGTACTAACATACTGCCTATATCATGCGCCGCCGTGCGGTTGCTGGTTGCGATCGAGAGAGAGCCCGTAATGGACAACGGAACGAGTGAGTACCGTAGTAACGATCAGTGAACGTCCGCTAACTTTGTATATATGTATATATATTATAAACCAGAAATGGTCATTTCGATCTCCCTTGTGTATGTCGGTATCAACTTATCTACATTGTATATTGTGTTTAATTTTATAATTAAGGGAATCCATCCTTTATTTATAAACTCCTATTAAGACTCTCCACTTGTGACCGCATATTACTTCATCTCTCTCTCTCTCTCTCTCTCGCTCTCTCTCTCTCTCTCTCTCTCTCTCAGTTTCCCTTTTAGAAAATCCAGTGGCAAAGCGTGACTAACTTGGCTTTGCTAGTGTTAATAATTGCAGCGTATCCTGCCCGGGCCGTCAGGACATCATGCCACAAACGCGTGACAAACGAACGATCAAGGTCATGGCCCCCTGTTCACACCGTCTTTGTGCTGATTGGCCACCCATCAGCCTATCACAGTTCCCCTTGCCATATACCCCGCCGTTTCCACAAGCCTCCTGACTTGTGCTGTCTATCGTACTCAGTACACGTCCTATTTCCAATTAGCCTTCTGTTTTGCATACATAACAACAATGACTTAGTAAATAACTTTACAAGCGCTCTAGATTGGCAAAATATTTTTTAGAATAGTGATTCAAACTTTTCCCGCTATTTGTTGCAGGACCCATCAGAAGGTTTTTGGACTCTATTTCACTAAAGATACTTAAATCCAGTGTCGCGCCTTCAACTGTCACACACTTTCATGAAAACGGACTTTAAAGTTACCAGTGCAAACTAACGGTCCATCTAAAAATCTATTGTCTGTTCATTTAATAATCGTCATGGTATTTGAATTAGTTTCAAAAATGAGGCTTTCGCTAGGTAGGTGTAAAGAGTCTTTAGCTATCAGCGATGCAAATCTTTCCAGA